GAAGAGCGGGCCGCAGGGCGCTGCTCCTGGACGGGCGAAGCGAAAGCGGCGTTCGCAGCTCTGGACGTCGGCCGCTTTCGCTGTTCTGCTTTTCACGTCCCGTCTGCGAGTCGATTTTGGTAGAATGTGGAATAAAGCTTATCATTCTCTTTTTTCCTCTCCGTTCATCTCTGGGGCATGTTTGGGAGGCAGGGCAGGCACTCTGGTGTTTGGGCGGGTGGGACAGACTCGGGGCTCTCGCCTCTGTCGCTCTGGCAACGGGCCGCCTTCCTGGCGTGGGGGCATCTAGGGACCTGCTCTGCAGCTGGAGGGCGTCACTCCCTCTCTCCTCAGGGTGACAGTTCTCGTTCCCTGAGGCCAGAGGTGACACGCACGTGCACCCGCCGGCGCCTCCCTGTGGCTGGCGTGGGCACAGGCGTGTCACCAAGGGCCCTGCTGCTGGCAGGTGAGGTGCTCCAGGGTGGGTGCAGGCTTCTCTCTTGCCAGAGAAGATGGGGTGTGTAACAGAGTCCCAGGCGGCTTCCTGTCCAGGCAGCAGGCGCTGGCCTGCGAACTCCAAGACCCGCAGGTCAGCTTACATGGGCTGCACGTCTTTTGAACCAGGAGGCCCGGGCCACCCACCGGTGACGTCAGTGCCCAGACGCTGTGACTGAACGCGGCCCCGTGCAGGGCTTTGTCCTTAGATGATGCTTCCTTCCTTTTGCTGGATGACGATGTGGCTCTCCTTGCAAATGACAAGAGAGCCCAGGCTCTGGGCTGCTGCACTCACGTCCTGGGCCACAATGGGACATCGTTTGTAAAATGAGGACACCTAGTGGTCTGTGACGTGGGCTTCCTGTGCTACATTAAAACTTCCTTTTAACATTGTTTCTCCCTGCTCTGTGCCCTCCTTTAATGTTTGTGGCCGTGTGAGTGAAAACGTGACCCATCTATTTGTCTAAATCAGATTGATGCACTGTAAACCCTAGTTTTGTGTCCCTGTGGGGGGACCGTCTAACTTTTCGTGCGTTCCTAGGGCTCCATAACAAATCGCAAACTGTGTGGGAGGGTCTTCTCTGGCCTTCTGGAGGCTGGAAGTCTGAGGTCAGGTGTGGGCAGGGCTGCTGCCTGAGGCTCTGGGGAGGGGCCTTCTTTGTCTCTCGCAGCTTCTGGCAGGAAGGATGCCTGGGCTCCGGGAGGCACGCCTCCCAATCTCTGCCTCCGGGCCCTCGGGCCCTCGGCTTCTCCCTGTATGTGTCTGTCTCAGTATCTAAATCTCCCCGTCCTTTCTCTTAGAAGGACACTCATACAGGATTAGGGCCCACCCTAATGATCTCATTTTCACTTGGTGACATCTGCAAAGACCCTATTTCCAAATGAGGTCAACTCCATGCCCTGCGGCTCAGGGTGTAGCCATGTGTTTGAGGGACGCAGTCCAGTCTTCTCTGGCCGTGATGTCTCATCGCTCCGAAGAGGAGCCCCCTGACAGCCATCTGCAGGAGCAGATGAGTCTGGGAACCACTGGAGGAGAGGTTTGAAGCATCTCTCCACAGGTAAAACCGTGCAGTCAGGTTGGCTTTATAGGTCAGGGCCAAAAGGACTTTGTAAGCAAGATGAAGGTTATCCTTTGTAACTTCGCCTTTCTGAGAAAGCACAGAGACTAAAATGAGGGAGAGCCACGCCTAGCGGGTTCTCATAGGTACATCCGAGACGTGCGCAGTGTAGCTGCAGCTAACTAGAATCCAGGTGACGCTGGTCGAGGACATAAACTCGCGGGGGACAGAAGGCTGCTAACGCCTAACCCTGGCAAAGAGGACAGAGGGGACGTGGTAGTTGCGAAGGCTGGTCCCATGGGGAAGGTCTGCTCGGATGTGTCTCAGTGGTCACCAGATAATCTCGCCTGGTACCCACTGGATCCTTTCAAAGATGTAAACTTTCATCTTCTTTCTCTGGATCGTTTTCAACGATTATAGTTTCAAATGTTATAATTTCTTCTTTAGGACACCAGGGACACACACTGTGAAGTCTTAATCAAAGGTGAAAACACACCTTCCCGAATACCAAAGCAAAAAGGACACACCAAATAGGGACACGGCACACGTAGCACGCAGGAACTGCAACGTGGCATGAACGACAGGCGTGAGACCAAACATGTTAGCCACATGACTCCATGGGAATGGACGTCCCGCGCCCATTGAAAAAGAAAATGTGTTCACATTGGCTCAAAAGCAAAGCCTGGCTCCATGGCGTGTAAAAGAGACGCCTGAAATGCGGTGACTCTGAAAGCGAACAGTGCAGACGGGGCGCTCCGCCTGGCGGACAGACAGCAGGAAAGCGGGTGCTGCGGCCCCCACAGCGGGCTCTGTCAGCCGTGCCTCCCCAGGCGCTCGGGGCGACCAGGAGGGCCGCGATACTGCGTGAAAATGGGCCATGTCGCAAAGACTGCCTTTCCAGGACAGAGATGCTCCGCGATAAGTGATTCCGCTTTCTTCAGATGCGCCATAAAGTGACCATATCAGGAGTTCGATCAAAACTGGTGCTTTTTTTTTTTCTTTTTCCTGCAGCGGAGGCAGGAGCTCAGCCCTGCCTGCCAGGAGCTGGCAGGTGGGGGCTGAGTTGAGCCTCTCAGGAAAGGAGCATGTCCTGTGTGGCCTCGGGGCCTCGTCTGATCACTGCCCAAGTTCACCGAGGGGTGCGGCCCCCCTCTGTCCGCAGTATTTTCCTGTTGGCCTGTGGGCCTAGAGTGCGTTTGCTTCTCTTCTGCACTGATGGTTGTGATCAGCTGTTTGTGGAAGGATAAGTAAGGGATTTCATCCGTGTCTAGACTGACACGATGTTCCCTGATCACTGCGCTGTCTTCAGCCTTGACCTTCCTCCATGTGGAAGCGTTACGCTCCAGCGTCATTTGGAAGACTGCTATTCTTCTGAATCATTTTGCAGATACCCGGCACGAGGCTGGGGTTTTAGCCTCATTATTTCCAGAGTCGCTGGTGGATTTAAACACACTTCGCACGCCAGCTGCATTTATGTTCTCACCCTGGAGAACCAAGGAAAGCATCGGAATTTCCAGTTCTACCTTTTTGGTTTTTTAGTAAGCTACTGTTTTTAAAAATGAGGTGTATGTATTACCAGGCTCGTCTCAGCATTTCTCGAGGGGAGTCTGGGTCTGGAACAGGGGGCATGACGATGAGAGGATGGGCTGTGGGGCGACACGCGTGTCAGGTCGGAGGCTGGGGGTCTGAGGTCGAGGTGCCGGCTGCTTCGTGGCTGGTGCGAGCTCATGCCCCAGTTCGTGGCCGCTGTCTTCCTGCTGTGCCCTCAGGTGGTGGAGGGGCAGGGAGCCCTGTGAGTCTCCCACAGGCTCGGGTCCCATGACGGGGCGGGGGGCTCCACCCTCATGACATCACCACCTCCCAAAGGCCCCACCTCCAGACTCCGCCACACTGGGGGTAGGGTTTCAATGCATGAATTCGGAGGACGCGAACATTCGGTCTATAGAAGGAACCCTATCAGCTGGACCTGTGACTCCACAGTCATCGTGGGGGAATCTGGCCTCCCTAATCTAAAGGAAGGTTTTGTTCCTCGAGGTCTCACGGAAGGCCAATGGCCACAGGGCTGCTTCGCAGAGAACGCCGTGGGCTGCACCTGGGTTCCAGGTGCCCCATCTCCATCAGAGGGGTCGAGCTGCCTCCCACGGTCCCCCGCCCTGTAGGGGGACCACGCAGCTATGCACAAGACGACGCTGAATGAGTTCCTATTAATGATTAGCACTCACGGCCTCGTACTTCGGGCCTCGCTGAGCTGGGATGGAGAGGTGATTATTTCTCTCTGGAGGAAGGGAAATCCCCTTCACGAGCAGCCATGTCCAAACTACAGGCTCGGGAGCGGGGGCCGCGATTCATTCATTCACGCCGGTGGCTCCAGACTCGAGTTTCCCAGTGTTCGCCATTCAGGCTTCCTGGTCCCTTGGACAGGGACCTGCCCTCTCTCTGCCTCATTTTCTCCCCTGGTTTCTCTGAGCGAATGATGTTTTGGTCTTGTTGTGTCCAGGGGATGCTTAGGAGTAGCTTCGTGATAAACTGATGTGTAGGCCCCTGCGTTGAGGACTGCGAAAGGGTACAAAGGAAAATGCGACGTGGTCCTGGCCTTCCGAGCGCCTACTACAGAGTGGAGCAAATAGTCAATTCGGAAGAAATCACGAGACGCACAGACAGGAAATGAGAGATGCCCCGTAAGTGGTACGGACGGCGAAGAAGGAGTGACTGCATCCGACGGGTCTGAGCCGGCTTCGGAGGATGCCGACAGGTGGGAAGCAAGGCAGGGCCTTCCCAGAAGGCTAGGAAGTGAATCCTCGTATGTGCAACAGGTGGGGTGCAGACAGTTGGGCCGCCAGGAAGCATATGTGTGGTGCTGATGGTGCGCGGAGGCTCCCGGTGAGAGAGTCTGCTTCCGCTGCTGTCCGCGGCAGCTCGTGCTTTCCCATTCAGCGTCACGTTTATTCATTCCTTTCTTTGACCACTGTTCACGAGCATCTCCTCTGGGAGGGGAGTGAGCCAGGGGCTCAGGACGGGGTGCGAGGAGAAACGCAGTCTTCGTCCTGCTGAGCAGGACGGCGACAGGGGTGCTGAAGTGCTCGGCCAGGGGCCTGCACGGAGCACAGGAGGCCACCGAGGCCAGCACGGGCCACGCTCATCGCTCCAGGACGCCCGGCGTCTCTCTCTGCGTCCACATTCTATCTGATTGCTCGAGTAGAGAGTCTACGCCTCCCTGTCTCCATGGTTTCCAGAACAGAAAAACCTCACCTCCCTCTCCACAAAGCCACCAGGGCATCGCAGGAAGTCAGGACCATTGGCTGTCCTTGCTCTCCGCTGCGGGCGTGACGCACAGCACCAGAGCCCAGCGCTGGGGACTGGGCCACACCGCGCGCACCTCCATGGAAACGCGCGCTCGGCCACCGTCCCCTCCCACCCAGGCAGTGGAGG